GATTGCACGCAATTCAGAGCATGCGAAAGATCGTTTCACGCTATCTTCGAGAAACCATGAATATTTATTACCGTAAAATAACGCGGAAAGCGCCCGGTTTCACCGGAAAAGCGCCTAGATTAATTCAGTTTTTAGTGAAAGTGAGATGTCAAAAAAAAAAAAAAACATACCTTAACTATCTCGACAAATACCATCCCACAATTAATCAACTTTGTTTTCTCTTTCTCTCTCCCCTTTTTTTTTTTTTTTAATGGCCATTTAATGCTATAAACGAAGTGAGCGATCGCACCACCAAACCGCCAGTGCTTTCCCAGCCCGAACGCAAGGTGAAGCCAAGACAATTCTACCCCCAGCTGGTACTGATATACTCTGTTTCACCTTGTGTCGTACCGCAGGAAAGGCTACAATACAAGCGCGAGCTCCTTGCTCTAGGGCACATCTCGGCGGCACAAGCTCTCGTGCACCAAGGGCTGCTGCCAACGCTATGAGGTCGCGCTTCTAGCCTTCGCTGCGGTAAAACATAAGGTGAAACCGAGTGTAGAAGTGTCTTGGCAAACCGCGAACGTTCGAGCAACGGTGCTTGCGATGTTGAGAAGACCGCGTCGTCCCCCCTTGTACATATCATCTCATAATCATCATCACTAGACGTCCACCGCGGGCCTCCATGGTATGGGCTGTCGCCTTTCCGCGGTGCCACGGCTCTCCTGAGCCTATAAAGATTATTATTATTAATATTAATGGCGTGGAATCTTTTTTTTTATGTTCTAAAACTCGTGCGAGTTTCGTTTTTTTTTTTTTTTTTTGCTCACTTTTAAGGTTAATTTTGGATTCGCTCACTGCTGATATTCATCCAGCAATAATTTAAACTTAGTTTTTTATTATGACCCGGAACAATTGACTAAAGGGGTAAGGACACGAAGGCACCCTAGACATAACAATTCAACCCGTCGCGGCAAGATACGCATAATCGCGGCGTCCGCTCCGCGAGTGTCGCTTCACCGCATTGCACTAGAACACGGCGAGAAGCGCACTTAAAGGGGTATTCACACGAGGGAGAAATCGCGGGGATTTCTCCCTGGCACGCGCGCATCACGAGATGAAAACGCGAGGCTTTTGCACATCGCAAAGCCTGACGTTTTCGTCGTGGGATGCGCGTGCCAGGGAGGAATCCCCGGGATTTCTCCCTCGTGTGACTACCCCTTAAGGAATCTATATCTGACCCGCCCGAGCGAACTATTTGGGACTTCTGAGTACTCATTGGCAGAAAGGCAGAGTTGAATAGTAAGCACATCATGAAAATCGACAACCGAAATTTGTGAAAACTTGCGCAAGTCCAACTTATTGGTCTGGCAGTGTAACGGAGCCCGAGAGCAATTGAGCTACTTTGGCGGAAATGACGCAGCAATTACCTCACTGCACTGGAAACCTTTTTGGCAAATATTCGGCAGACGTCTACGCATGCGTGAACATGGCAGTTGGCATCCACCGTGCCTGTACATTTGAGTAAGCAAAGCAATGGTTGTCCCAAATTATGTAGCTTGTTCTCCCTTCAGCAATTTTGTGTTTACCCTTGTCAACGATATCCAAGATGAATGGCTGATTTTCAAAAATGGTAAGACCAAGACAAATAAATTTGATTGGCATGGACTAGTCTATCCTAGATCTTCCAGAAGTCCTGTGTGTTCGAATTCTTCTCGAAAAAACCGAGTGTTGTTAAATCAATTCAAATTGCAGTAACCTCTGGAAACGTGTAAGACCCTTTTCTTTCCACTGTGCTTGATCCTATCTCCTCCATAATTAAACTGTCTGGTGTCAGTTAATTTTTACCAAATTTTAGCCTTTGTGCCCCTGTATCAGTTCCTAACAAAATAAATAAATCCACCTTAACAATATAAATAGAGAGGTAGCAATCTTTCATAATTTTCTCAAACATTTTTCAACACATTGGAGTAATTGAACCATGTACAGACATCACTACGCTTATCATTTCATTACACAGATTACTTTTGTAACTACACCACATGGTTCAATGCAGCTTCAAAACTGCACGCAAAATGCAGCCTATATGAACAAAAAAAAGAAGAAAAAACGGCATTGGGCGAATTTTGTTTAGCCCTACCTAGACTGTTATCATGGAGTGCGAAAACTATTTGGAGTGCTGTGAATGGTAGTACAAAACGGGTTTTTTCGCGATCTGCCTCAGATGGTAGCCTCATTTCCAAACATTGAAAACATACTTACCAATGTGTTTGGGTAATCATAATTAGAGAGGATGCTGACCCTTCATACGATTCATATCTTAATCATGTCCTACGAGAGGTCACTACTGTGAGTGTTATTTTAGAAATAGCAGGGGTATTGTTATCGACTGTTTAGTTTCATGCTTTTTAAGATGCTGCACAAAAGCTAACAGGAAAAATAAAAACAAGGCCTAGCCAAACCAGCAGATTTGGAACCACAGTTGAATCGAAAGGTCTGATCCATTGTGAAACAGCAGCAGCATGTGAAATACGTTGAAGTAATGCATAGAAATCTGTACTGCTGACAATGTGTCAAGAAACAGACAGAGAGAGGGAGAACGAGACGAGAGAATGCATGAACATCAGAGTGCCAAGTTGTTTCAAATGTGCACCCTTAAGCTGAGACTAGAAGCTCCGACTTCAGCGTGAGCTCGCTGGCTTCCAAAGTGCTTTGGTTGCATGTGCCTGTGCGTTCACACTTGTGTTAGCAAGGGCAGAAAGCTCGTGTTGAAGGCAGAGCTTCTAGTCTCAGCTTAAAGGTACAACCTCAGTTTTCTGCCGGGAAAAAAATCCTCTTAGCGCTTCCTCTCCTAAGCTCCGAAGGGAACCAAGTTGGTACAAGGTAAAAAGTGGAGAGGAAATAGAAGAGGAGGCGGGAAAAAGTGGAAAGCATGAAATGTACGTCGGCCTTTAAGGATGAAAAGAGTATAGTGGGCAGACCCAGAGCTAGCTGCCTTTGTCTCCACTGCACTCGACATACGAATGCGAAAGCCAAACACTGGACGATGGCGTTCCACATTCTCACATGTTTCTCAAGTGCAGTGGTGACAAAGGCGGCTAGCTTTAGGCCTACCCAATAATCATTCCAACCAGAGCTCAGCATTCTGACGTCCCCGCATGCCCTCACCTCCTCCTCTCGCTCAGCTTCTGGGCGCATAGTCCACGCATATCACAAGACTATGGGTGCCTGGACCACGTTTCCAAACTGTGTTTACGAGCCGTCTTGTCCTTTCTATTCCAGGCTAGTGACACCTCCACGATCCTGGCAGTGGCGCAGCCATGAAGACGATGGCAGATTCCTGTCCTAGTGTAGCTCCCTGTGCAGCCTGCCAGTCAACAGAAACATCTGTAGCCACGTGATGCAGTATCCACTATTCTTTGCCAGCATGGACTGCAACCTTCAGCACTACATGGTGGCTCCAGCACCGTATTTGTTGTTCCTCTAGGGAATGTCAGGCAATGAGGCAGTGGAAAGCTCAACACAATTCCAGGCATAACACTGAATGCCCAGCTTGTCGGAACTCCTGGACGCCAAATGCCGAGCACCACGGGGCTATTCGTAACTCTGTGAAATTCCAAAGCGGCAGAAAAAAATTGATGGTGCTATGGAGAATTAGGCAGCCTTAAAATGGCAGCAAAGCGGCAGAAAAGATGGGGAGATTCCCCAGGATTTCTCAAGTGCCTGCTCACCAAAACCAGCCAGTTTGGCGACAAATACGAAGAGAGGCGACAGAGATGTTGACATGTGCCAAGAAGAGTATGTAGATTTGCGAAGCGGAACACATTTTAATTTAATGCGCTTGCTTTTTCTGTTAAAACCGCATGATGCACGAACACGCCAACCAGAACCATGCGGCAGCAACAGCACGAAGGCCAACAGTCCCTGCCATCGTCGTCTTGCTCCTCTGGTTGTTCGTTCATCCGCGAGAAGGCGAGCAGCGGGCTTGAGTTGCCAATACGAAAATGGACTTACTGGAAGCGTGCAACAGGGCAGTGGTACCGCCATGTAGCTCCTAGCAGAATCATTTCGCTTCATGTGTGTAGCAGCCAACCAGTTTCTAATCAATGTCAGCTTACATGAGCCACTACCACCCAGAAGTCAAGGCCTTCACATTTTCCCCCCACAAAAGTCATCAACAGTGGATCCACGCAGCGGTGCCTAGCCTGTGCCAAGACGAACACATGTTTTATGGCGACTCTGGTCGGAATTCAAGATGTTTGCCACTTAAGGCGGGTTACGAACACGTCACGCCTTGTCTTTTAGGTCGTATTGCCCGAGCCCCCCACGCTATACAAAACATTCGCGACCACAGTTGGTACTAACTTTGTTTTTACGCTAGAGATGAAAATTGAGCCGATGCTTCCATGCATTGGCAAAAACAGTCACAATTATCTCATTTTGAATAGACTAACTCTATCCACCAGAGAGTGCCAAGATATCAGATGAAGTGGAGAAACAATACCTCGCATAAATTTTACCCGCCGCCGACACTGGCGATTGTCGTCCCACAGTAGATACCAGACTCTCGAATTTACAAGCACTTTCTAGAAGCACATTCCAGCACAGATACACGAAAAACATGGCACGTTACTGTCGTTTGCCACTTTCACTGGGGGGAAACCATTAAATCCGAGCTTCGAGCCAGTCCTGCAAATCAATCCGCCTGAGAATATAAGACAGAGCAATGCTAGATGCGAACAGTTTTTGGGATGTCAAGCAGGGGAAATTACTTTGGGGAGCGAACTCAGCATGGCAAACACAGATGGTAGACAGAGCGGGCAGCTTGTCTACGCGGCGTCGTGCCCACGCTAAGCATCAGTCGAAAGAAAGAACAAGGGCAGAGATCGGCTAAATCTGTTACCTTCCTTGCTTGTCCCATTCGCTCACAGGCCCATTGCTTTCGCAACCTTTCATGGAAACCTATGGTGTCGTCTTTGGCACAAAAACAGACCCACAAAAGAAGGAGAGGACACACTGTGTATGGTTCCTTTTCTTCCTCGGCAATGTATTTGTACAAGGGCAGAACACGCTAGGAGCAATTGGTGGGCGGGTATTGCAGCTACGGTGCCCAAAATGTCCTGGGCTCACTTCTGGGCAGCGGCCAGCTTGTCCTTGAGGGACTGCGGCATCTCGGGGGGAGGGGGCCGGGGCAGGCGCAGCCACACCTTCACCGCATCGTAGATGAACCACTGCAGCGCCGTCAACGTACCGATCATGATGATACGCGGAGTCAGGCCCTTCCACAGACCTGCGTGCAATGGACGAGAGAAACAAACATGGTGGACATCTCATACCTTTCTGCAACTCTTCTAAACATATCACCTATGGACTAGTGCATTCTAATTATGTACTAATAAAAAAGAAGGAGGATTACAAGTAACTTAGTAATAGGAAAGGTCACTTTGGCAGAAATAAAACGCAGATGAACCTCGCTATAATGCAGAGATATGATTATTGATTTAGCAAAGTAAAAACAACATATCGTTTGTCAGGCTTCATTTCAATGGGAGTTTAACCCAGGGGTGGCCAGGCCTACCAGGCCTAAGAGCCGCAAACGGAATTACGAAACTTCTAAGAGCCACGGGGGGGAAGGGGGGGGGGGGGGGGGCGGCGGCGGGCAAGTTTAAATATTTTTTCAGAGTCTGACTGTACGTATGAGTGCAGAAGGCTGTACGACAGTACGTATGGATGTACAAGGCTGCCCAACCGCGAGCCGTACTTCATTCTGCCTGAAATCCCTTCTTTTTTTTCTTGGGGAAATGCGGGAAGGGGGGGAGGGTGGGTCCCCTTACGAGGGATCCGCGAGCCGCACTTGGACCAGCAAAGAGCCGCGGTTTGGCCACCCCTGGTTTAACCCATCGTAACAAAAGCGAAAATGCCAGATCTGCCGCAGCATCTGCTATGGTGAAGCAATTTCTAGTTCGCATGCGCCTGAAAGTATACAAGCTGGCAGCAAAAGATTAGAAAAGCCTACAAAAGCAATTCACGAATGCAATGTTCCAATCATTTGTGTACATTTGTAGCATTACAATAGCCTGACACACAAAAGTTAATACAGTTGAACCTCTTTATAACGAACACTGATATAGCAAATTATCGAATATAGCGAACTAATCACGAAGTTTGGTTGGCCATGCTTTATTTGGATGGGTGTTCTAGTTACATAATGAAACCGAAACCGTGAAATCTGACGTGCTATCGGTTACAGCGAAGCAATTCCTGCTTTCCTAGCGTCACAAAATACTACGAAGGTTATTAAAAAGCAGAGTATAAGAAATACAAAAAGTACTTTCGAAACAAAAAATTTGGAAAGTTTAGATCGCCCATGTGCAAAATGTGCGTTTTGGGAGATAGCGCCACCTATGAACTGGGTGAATAACGGCGGTTGCGCCGCGTCTTGTCTCTATGCGAAGCATCAAGAACCAGTGCAGACTAAAGCCAACCGCCATCCACGCCACTTGTAGCGGAGGAGCAAATGGCGACGAAGCGAAAAGTTCTCTCTGGAGACAAAAGTGAAGGTTTTGAGGGCGGTAGATAGCAGCCGGAAGAAAAAAAGACATCAGTGCGGACTTCGAGCTTGCACCAAGCACGATATCTACCATCCTGAGTGCAAGGAAGAAGATTGAAATCTGCTATGCAAACAACACCGTAAAGACTGACCGAAAGAGTCTTAGGCCTTGCCTCGACCCGGACATAGAAGAGGCTCTGTTCTCAAAGTTTAAGGACGTAACGGTGCGAACTTTGCCGGTGTCTGGTCAGCTTCTTCAAACGAAAGCATCCAGTCTGGAATGTCTGTTAGAGCATGATAATTTCAGCGCGAGCAGCAGTTGGCTCCAGCGCGATGGCGCCAGGTGAAGAGGAACCAGCCCAAAATCACGTTTTCAAATAAATGGAATACCCAGCTAACGTCATTTCTCGTGTTGCAACTTGATATCCTCATGCTCCGATCTATTTTTTCTAATGGTGCTTAGTGACAGGTAAGGATCTCGCGGTCCACAATAGCGTGTTTTTATATCTTAGTACCGTGGACGTTCTTACACTGGCTCGATTGCGGGAACGTTCACGTCAGTTTTTGTGTGTACTTTTATAACGAATATCGCATTGAGCAAACAAATTTCCGCTCCAGAGTCTAGTTCGTTATAACAAGGTTCGACTGTATTTTGGGTGGTGTCCACCTCCAAACTGAACACATAAACAAGCATGCAATAGTGGCGCCATCCATGGACAGTGACAAACACCCGACAGAGCTGGAAGAGATACCATAGCCTTTCTTGACTTCCCCCTTTCCCTTTACCTGCGGAAGCTAAGATGCAATTTGAATTTCCCGGTTTCCCTATTTCCAGTCATCCAAAGACAAAAAAAAAAACAAAGAGAAGCGGCACAAGCCTGCCTGTTCAAAGAAAAAAACAACCGCATCTCCACGTGGTGAATGATGTTGATTGGGGCGAAGCTCTGGTGGTGCTTGTCTGCACAGATGCTGAGCCGCAGCATGCCGAGCCTTTCGTTCGTTTTCATCCATGCCACGCTGCGGTTAAATGCTCAAATGTTTATGTAACCACATTCCATACCACACATTCTCTTTCTGACATGGATAAAAACGAACGATAGGCTCGGCATGCTGCGGCTCACCGTCTACGCAGACAAGCACCACCAGAGCTTCGCCCCAATCAACATCATTCACCACGTGGAGATGCGGTTGTTTTTTTCCCTACACGAGCACGGGAGCACGTGCTTGTGAACACGAGCACCTTACATCGGACGGACATACAGACATGGCTAGCCCCTAAGGAGCTTTGCCCCTAAAAAAGCTTGGCACGATGCACAGCGGCAGTAAGAAGTATGTTGTTGCAGACTTCAAGCTTCTACTTAGCACTGTCTACTGAAGAGGATTACATGGACAATGCCACAATAATGGACAGGAAGCGCGATGTACCTTGCCGTTATGCAGTCATGGATGTAAATTAGTTCCAGTTTCAAGATGTAAGCACAGAGCACTTGCAATTTCCTAATGTCATTCTCTAAGCAAAAGCAAACAGTATGGCCTTTCTTCTCAAGGACAGACTTGAGACTATTTGCCATTTGTATGGCGAAAGGTTTGTCATAAACTTAGAGAAGCTAACTGCGGCCAAATGGGATTGTGGACCTGTTCCACAAAGGAAACATTGTGTCTCCAGTGGTACAGTGACCTCTTTACGTTCCTATTACTGTTTTAAATGAAGCACAGAATGATAGACAAGATCTGCACATTCATAATAAGGCTTGAGGGACGCAATGGCATATTTCTATACCCCTGCGTCTGGTTTAACAGACATTGGACATAACTACCGTAAACGTGCGTGTAATGGCAGCGCTCATATCTAGCGGAACCTACAACTACTAACCAAAAAGGCTGAAAAAAAAAAAAAAAAAAAAAAAAGGCGTGTTCTGCTTTTTTTTTTAGCAGACGAAGGAAGGGACTCCGCTCCATTCCTTCGTCTGCGAAGTACTTGCGTGACGGTCGAGCGCGCGCGCTGCCCTCGGCGCGCTGACCTTGGGCATGGAGCAGTGGAGCCGCTGCCTAGCGGACACGCAGTGCCATAGGGTGCCGGTCGTCGAAACCGACGTGCAGCGGCCATTGGGAGCCTCGTCGACGTGTGCCAGCCAATAGGACCAAAGCCGAAATCAATCAGCCTTACTCCACTCCTTTGGGATCGGGGAAACTAGGTGTCGTTTGACTAGGCTTTTCGCATAGTTTCATAGCTGGGAGCTGGCTTCACTTGGACAAAGGATTTAAGGTGCCGTCTGGCGCGGCTTCAAAGCTGATGATGTTGGCTCGCTCCATGGGACAGTTAATGCTTTTGCATTAAAAAAGTTACACAAGTACACTTAAAGCCATGCTGAACCGAAGTCTGGATTCCACAAAACACGGTGGCAAAAGCGTGCAATGGGATGCTACAAACACCAAAACATCACTTATCAGGGTGTCTACCAAATTGTTTTTTTAAAATTCCCTCACTTTTCCAGGTTTTCCCTGACTATTTTAATTAAATTCCCTGGCCCACAACTACCAACACCAAAACACAATATATGATAGACACTATTCACAAAGTAAAATATTTTATTTAAGTTAGATAAAGCAAACTTTGGAAGATGTTTAGAATACATCATTGACCCAGGTTTACTGTTTCAGTGAGTTTGGTACCAGTACCTGAACAGTACATCCATTTGTTCTCTGAGTTACTTTGTTCAGTGACTCATCAAAAGCAACCACCAGATATAGGAAGCTAGAGAGGCTTGCTAGCAACTTCTCTTGAAAGTATGGGGCGATACCATGACATATGGTATATTGCACTTTGTCTTTTCCAAGCTGTATTTTTCTGGCGGTCTCACACATGGGGAACATCAACAGAAACGGCGAAACAGACGCTGCCGCTGAATGGAAAGACCCACGAGTAGTTATAGTGTTCAAGCACAACATGATCCCCAGCCTTTGTGACTTCCTTCTTCAATAAAAAGCCACCACCCACGTCTTCACAGAGGGGCTAAGAGCTTCCGTGGCTGTGGTTAGACACATTGCCGGAGCCCTACAAGCACCATTGCTACCTCCGGACAAAAAACACCCGCTGCTGGAAGGCAAGTCCACATTTGTCGCAGTTTTGAAAAATATGATTGGGCTCTGGGAAACGCTTTGCAGATATTTCATAGCAGTTTGATGTTTCTTACCCTCAACATGAGTAGTAATCGCCCTATTCCCCATGTTGCTCAGGGAGAACTTCTTGCAGCACATTGTGCAGTGAGCACTAATTGGATCATTTGGAATGGGCCGAATCCAACTTGCATTCGTGGATATGTCCGGGTTTGTCCCGTTGAGGTTGAAGGAGCACATTCTCGACAGCGACATAGTCACTTTCACATATCTCCACTAACAGAAAATAACACAATGGAAAGCCCTACCCAAAGCCACAAACACACGTGGCAGAGCTCGAAGAGTGCAGGCGTCCAGGTTGCGTTTACGGGGAAGCGCGAAAACACCATATCTGACAAACGAATGGATCGCTAGGCACGCACCTCTCAGAGGGTAGATGAATAGACGACGACTGTCCTCTTTCGAGTGAGTGGTGACTCACGCCACCTAGTATCCGCTAGAGTAACTGTTTCGCCTCATACTAGAGCAACACCACCTAACTAGACTCGCGAATTAAACGAAATGGCCGCTGCTACTCTGCTTCACTAGTGACTGTGAGTAACTCTTTAGCCGCCATACTTTAGCGTTGCTACTCTAAAGTGTAGCTTATTTAATGGCTTTAGAGTGTACTAAAAGAATGACGAGCCGCCAGATTCGCACATGCTCTCGTGTGAAGCGCAGCGTGTAAAAAATTGGGCGGGTCGCATCGCGCCTAGGGGGTCGCGACGCCGCACTTGACTGCGCTCGTGGCTATGCCTGCCCGTGCCTGCCTGTTCTAGCGTAAGCGGGCAAGCATGGAATAAATTCCCTGACTCGGCAATCTTTTTGGAAATTTCCCTGACAATTCCCTGACTTTTCCAGGTGTCTTAAAATTCCCTGACAATTCCCGGTTTTCCCAGTCGGTAGACACCCTGACTTATACTACATTACCTCAAACGGATGACCATATTTTTTAAAAAAAGGAAGCACATTTGACACATAGGTTGACGTCTTGTTTTTCTGAGAAAATTCGAGGAGAGGGAACGGCCTCGCATCTTCTTCGCCTCGCCGCCTTGAGGGGGCAAAGCGAAGAGAGGAGGAAACTGCATATGTTAACGTCGCGTGCCTCGTCGGCCTCGTTCAGTCTCTACCTCTTTTTCCAAAAATACGACTGTCCATTCGAGATATTGCTTTACGAGTAGCATTGTAGGGATTGTAGCGTCCCGCCTACAGCTCCTGCATTGTTTCCAAAATCAAAATTTCGCTTCACCATCCCTTTAAGACTGCTTACAAGTAGGAAGGCGAAACCCAGTCAAGGACGACGTTGAGAACGATGCCTAGAGAACGACTTCTAGGACGACGTCAAGAACACCCATTAGGATGAACTCTAGGACGACGTCAAGAACGACCTCTAGGGTGACATTTAGGATGACCTTAAGGATGACATTCAGAACGATGCCTAGAGGACGACAAGAACGACGCCTAAAGGAGGACGCCTAAGTAGGCTGTGGCATACTTGCATGGGCGGCGTTTGCCTGCGGAAGCTGCCGTAGTTGTAGTTGCTGCTGTTGACATCGAGGCCGTAGATGTAGACGCGGTCGCCTGACAGCCCATCACACGAAGCGCACCTTTTGCACACGGCGCTCCGGCGGTGACATCATGCTGATGACATAAGCTTGATGACATCACGCTGATGACGCATGATGACATTTTATGACCATCTTTCGGGCACAACAATGCCGCCGCCGCTTGTTTTACACGTACTGTAATAAGTGAGGTCGTCCTAGAGGTCAGGACGACTTCTAGGACGACCGCAAGGACGAGGGGCGCCCTTGAGCCCACGATTGAGCAGCGCATGCCACTCAATCACATTATTACGGCGATTTACTCCGATTTGCCGTTCAATGAGACAAGCAAGGCTTTCGCCTTAAAATATATTTCTAAATTACACGCGTATAGGCCGCATATCAGTGATTTGAAAAATGTTGAAAGTGCCATCTGCTTTGTGGCACTACGACATGAGACTCCAGAAAATTCTATAGGCAGCTTGCACCAGATGGCGCACAAATTTTTGCGCTGTTTGTCAATACATTTATGCGCCATCTTGGGCTCGCAGCAAACATAATCACGAAGCGTACGAACAGCTAAAGGGACACTTCAACGAAATTTGAAATATTCCCGTCGTGTTCAAAAATAGGTTGAATATGATCCACAATATCCGTAAATGACAATCGCACGTTTGTATTTTGATCCTGGTGGCTGTATTTTTCGTTATAAACGGCCCACTCTGGAAAGCGATCGGAGAAGGCCCAGCTTAGAGCACGTGACATCCAACGCAATCGTGACGTAGGTCGTCTCAAGACGAGCAAAGCTACGGCGAGGTTGACGTCGAGAGGATGGCCTAGTCGTTCCAGCCACCGAAGCGGCTGCTTTTGTACGAATTTTGAGTGACGGGTTAATCTTCTATAATCTTCTAGGGGGACAATAGCGACTTCTGCGACACACAAAAGGGATTCTCGGGAAGAGGGGAGTTCCCCCTTCCACCCTTCTCTCGTCGTGGCCGGAGACGAGACAACCTCCGTCACTAGCTGTGAAGGTTCCTAGACGAGCATTACAAACGAGGCGTTAGCGACATCCACCAGGTGCTCTTTGCTAATCGTTTAAAATTCCTTTTCGAGACTTTTTTTAACAAGATATTGGTATGTTCCATGTGATACTGCTCTTTTGAACACATATAGACCAAAAAATGAGCGCCGAAATTTCGTTGTAGTATCCCTTTAACCTTCCTGCCAGCAACTACGCATCTCCTGCCAGCGACTAGCTCCATGGGTGAGCATGTGAGCTACAGAGCCCATTTTAAGCTGAAGCTTGTTTTTTTTGCTAAACAAAATGGCAAAAGAGCCGCCGGACGGAAGATCGAACTTGAAGAAAAATATGTATGTTGTTGGTGCCTCCAAGAAAAGACGCTCTAAGGAAGACGAAGTGAACAATGCAGGCTCTCCAAAGAAAGCAGAGCACGTTTCCCGAGGTAGAAGAGTTGCCTTTGCAGTACATGACGGACACTCGCAGCAATGGTTACGCAGTTTCGACAGAGATGCTGCGCTTGAGGGTGCTGGAGATTGTGCCAAGTAAGAAGCTTCCAGGGCAAGTGTTTGAAATCAGCAATGGGTAAATACGGCAGTTCACAACGCGAAAAGGCCCGTCGCTCTGCTGTCGGAAAACAATGCGTCAACGTCTACCTGCGGAGTACAAACAGAACCTGCTGGCATTTCAAATCATCATCATCAAGATGCGCAGAGAGGACGGGTTACATACTCTCACAGGCAGGCCATGCAGATCAAACTCCGATTTAGTTTGGTGCACCCAGCACAACGTCATAGTGGAGGCAAAGGTGAAGAAGAGCGTTCAAGTTCACACAACGGACACCGAAAGACAACGACGCCTCGTATCGCAACAGATGGGCGAAAACTACCACCTTACGTTGTCTTTAAAGGGAAACGAGTACCCACGAAGGAATTTCTTGGCGGCATAATTGTCGGAGCACAAGAAAAAAGATAGATGGCGGACGTGCTGGGTAAAGATTGGTCGACGTGTGTTTGAGAAAAGCGGCCAGGTGCAGACCTCAGCACGCTGTGCCTCCTTGTCCTTGGTAGCTTTCAAGGACATCTGACCGAGAATATGTGAGAATGACTTGGCGACTCTGACACGGACTTAACCGTTATACCTGGGGCTATGACAGGCATGCCACTAGAAGCTTCAGTCAATCGGCCCTTCAAGTGTGCACTTCGCCGCGCACACTCTGAGTGGATGGCTACAACCGCCCACCAGAAAACGCTGACTGGTCAGCTGAAGAGGGCGGCCCTCCATGTGCAAGATTGTATTCTTAAAACGTGCGGGTCGGTATCCTTCAGGATCATAGGGAAGAGCTTCAAGGTCAGAGGCATCTGTAACAAGTTGGATGGTATAGAGGATGACATCATCAGGGATCAGGATAGGGACGACAACGTGGAGACGTCTTCTGACGATGTGGTGCCTACTTCCGAAGAGGATTGTATGGACTAGTGATTGCAGTACGGACATTAACAGCCGATTTCTTCGTAACAAGAATAAACACTCCTTTTCTTTTTTTTTCTTTTAACACAAGGAAGCAAGTTAAAACTTCTTTTGATCCAAAAATATATTTTTCAGAACAAAAATTTTTTTTTTTTCTTTGTGTACAACTGCCATACCCAACCTTCACTAAAACTAAAAAAGAGAAAAAAAAACTGTGTGTATACGGTATTTTACTCTATGCCACTCTACAATAATAAGGTTCGACCATAGCTGCATGACCCACAGCCAACCGATACGTGCAATCTTCCCCACTACAATAACTTTTGCCGCATGGTTCTCCAAACCCAACAGCGACGCAATCATGAAAGAATGCTTCGAAGTGCCACCCACCGGCCATGCCAAGCTTCTTGGCAGCTTCGATGGCAGTGCTGCCCTTCTCCTGGTTCAGCTTGGAGACCACTGTGTCGGCGGGATGGGAGACCACCGCACAGAACACGCCAGCTGAAACGGAAACGCTTATGTTACGCTGCTGACTACACTTACTTACTGCAAATAAAAGTAACTTCAAAATAAATAGACCCTTTTCAAAAGTCTACAAAGCAACACTGACAACCGCCATATTCTGGGCATCGCTTTCTGCACGATGCGTGCGAATAGACTTGACTTCGCACCGTGCACTAATGCAGCACTTGTTTCCTATGCATCCTCAAAGCATATACTCAAACTATGGCAGCCTAGGGGTAACCTCTAGAAGGGGCGCATTTCAAAAATTTCGGAAAAATGACTACCGTAAAATCTTGTTCGAGCGCTCACTTAATATTTTGAAATGATCATGCCAGTCCGGGGGATGAGCACTTCTTAGGACGACGACATGTAGAGATGCGTCCCTTGTGTGTTTTCCAAATGTTACAAAATTGAGAAGTGGGCGCTTACTCTGGAACTGGCAGATGCTCAGGATTTCAAAGTAGTGTTGCATTAAAATATGACACCGAACCTGCAGTTTTGTCAGGTATTGGACAATAACAGACTTCTACCAGTTGCTGACAGAAGCTGATGGATTTTGGGTGAGGAATTTAAGTGAGAATGAGATTCATGAACACCAGCAGACTTCAGTGTTTTAAGGGGAGACACTACCCAAGAAAGTAAATTTTTGAACCACTTGTCTGATTTAAATTATATTTACAGGGCTTGTTTCTGTTGATGTTGAGAACATTTCTGCCAATTTTTGTTAACCTGGGTGAAGTACAAAAAAAATTGCAAACGTTCAAAGACGATAGTGGGCCCGTCTGTGTAGGAAAACTATCGTTTTGAAATTACTTACAAATTTGTTGTTTTCATATGTTACATTGCATTAGGACAGTTCAGAGCAGATAACTATGGAGCTATATTTCTATGTTATACTATCTTTCATGACAAAAAAGCCACATAAACACAAATACAGTTTTTTAGATTTCCATCCTTTGTCCAAACTTTTAGTTCTTGAGCATGAGAAATGACAAAAATAAAAAATACAAGCTCATAGTTATCTTCCCCTTAAAATTTCACCCCAGAAAAACTCAAAAATGAATCCAAGTTGCGTAATAACAAAACGATAGTTTTCCTAAAGTGAAATTTATGCCAAAAAGTGGAATGGAGAAATATGCATTCAAAGTGCCCCAACCCCTACCTTTTCTTTAGCATCGGTGGACCCAAAATAATTTATAAAAAAATTAACTATGCAGTGTAAACTGACAAAACTTTCTGGGAATACTCTTTAGATGTTGGTGGATGTAAATATGGGATCTTTCAAAATCAACTTTTTTTTGCAGAAATTGTTTTTTCTGGGTAGTGTCCCCCCTTAAGCGTAACCATGCCTTTTGATGCTATCACTTATAGAAGTGCAATAAGTGGGTGATTCAATCTCGAATCAATTTTACTGCATTTATAAGAAGACATAAAAAACCTTTCATATTAAAAAATTGGAAAAAAAAAAAATTAATAAAAATACAATTTTTGAAATGACCTTGAATTGTGTATGTTTAGCTTTTCTTCTGTGTTGTTTCTTCTATGTGAACTATACTTAAATTAACAATATTATAATTTTAAATAGGCTTTGACAGAAGCTTTCATTTGATATGCTTCTTGTGCCTTAAATAATTGTACATCAAAAGCTAGCTCGGTCCAAAGTAGGCCCATTATTGTCAAAGGTGCAAGATTCGAAATTTATTTTATAAATAATAAAAAAAAACACTCTTGAGAAATTTAATTCTTCTATACAAAGTATAAAGCAGAAAAAAAAAGTTGTTGTGAAAAAGGCAATCTAAACGTTGCGAGACTTAAAAAGGTGTCAGTAGTGAAGCTACAAGAATTGCAAGGCCTACCTTCTGCCCTTTCAAAGCCCAATACTCAAGAACAAAAAAATTTCCATAGTTCTAATTTACAGTTTTGTTCCAGTCCCACATTTTCCACCAACATATATTTTTTCAAAATTTTTTTGAGGACCCATTTTTTCTTGCACGATTTAAGATGAAATCACCCAAGCACATTATCATTCAATGCCTTCGTCTTAAACCTTTGGATACTTGGTCTTAAGTCTTTGGATAATATATCCTGAACATTCTGGCATTGACTAAATGCTTTCATATGGCCCTGCAGTCATAAATGCTGGAGTTGGGGCTTGTTTCTACCATGTGTGCTATGCCCTAGATGCTTGCAGAAAACCTGATCCACAATGGGGTGGGGCCAAGTTAAAAAAGCATCCCCATCTTGGATTTGATCAGTCTCTGACAAAGTGATGGCACGATGGCATCACGGTGAACTTTACAAAATGCTGACATCACCGGAGCATGTCAGCATGACCTGGCCCAATAAATGCTCCGCATTCGCAAGTGTGAAACCAACGGATGGTTCCTGCAGCAATGGCACGTCACACCGGCCCACATGAAATTCTGAAGCATAGTCGGGGTCAAGACGGCCCGTACCAATGTATCCGGCGACGAATGTGACCACCAGCTGCTCGGGCTTGGAGCACTGGTCGCGGGGCTTGGGCACCACGTGCTTGTAGAGCAGCTCCACAGTGCGCTCGAAGCAGGCAAACTTCATCATGGTGTACGGGATCTGCCTCATCCACAGCGGGCTGATGCCCTTGTAGAACCTGCACACGGGCGAGTGGAACACGGCTTTAGTGAGTCGTCAAAGCAAGCGAACGCAAGAACCTCTTCGATGCGTACAAAGAAAATGTTGCTGGCCTGGTGACTCCTAAACACGGCAACGTTAAGCCCAAAACTGGGGTGCAAAAATGATGTTGATTGGGGCGAAGCTCTGGTGGTGCTTGTCTGCGTAGACGCTGAGCCGCAGCATGCCGAGCCTTTCGTTCATTATCATCCATGGCAGAAAGAGAATGTGTGGTATGGAACGTGGTTATATACGCATTTGAGCATTTGACCGCAGCGCCTTCTCGTCTATAAATGTTGAGCCAATGCATGCAAAGTCTAACGCGATTATATACGCATTTGACCGCAGCGCCCTCTCCTGAGACATTTGAGCGGCTCCATGCAACGTTTCATCCATGACATCCCCAGCTCTTGAGTTACTACCACATCTCGGAGCCCTCTTCGTCCCGCAGTCGTGGCCGAGTGGTTAAGGCGATGGACTAGAAATCCACTGGGGTCTCCCCGCACAGGTTCGAATCCTGTCGACTGCGCAAACAATTTTTTTTTCCCTACACGAGCACGTGAGCTCACGAGCAGGATCACGAGCACGAGCACCAGCAAGGTCGATCTGAGCACGGATGCCGGACAGAGAAGGCTAGACCCTAAGGAGCTTCGCCCCTAAAAGAGTAAGATCAAAGGTGGACAGAAAGAACGGTCTTTCGGTTGTTACCCTTCATCCACGCAAGTCTCGGGGATGTCGCCGTGTTTAGCTTGTTGATGCAGCCGATTTTTCTAAGTTTTAATTGAAATTACTTTGTGTTCTGACATATAAAGCCTAATTCACATGATGCGATCTTGCTCGCAATTTTGCAGCGACAGCATCGCAGCCGTCTCTCCACTTTCTTGCCACACGAGCGACGTCGCAACTGAGAAATTGCCAGTAGAATCACACCACGTGATTCGGGCATGACACTAAAGAAATCTCAGAAAGCAAAAGAAAAGGTTACTGCAATCAAAGGTTCCCAATCGACCATACGCAAAATTGTTTGAGCGTCTGGCAACACTCTGTGCGCTGCCATCTCTTACTTCGAGATTCCTCTGCTGTTAGTCAATTTCGTAGCATTGTCGGTAACAACCAGGGCCTACTGCTCACCACCATTGATCCTCACCCACACTTATGACTTTTAGTATAATTTTATGCGCTTCTTGCACCTGTATTTGCTTGTCGCCCGCCGGTTACTCGCCGCAACAAACATGGCAGACGAACACTCCAGTTCGAAATTCGGCTTTGAATGCCGGCAAAGACATGAGCGCGGGCACCTTGTTTTCCAAAGTGCTTTCTCAGCACGAGTGGTTAACAAGCGAAGGATTCTTCAGAACTACACTTTTGCGCCCTGTCCTTTACCAATGCCGAAGCCAACAGGTGAGACTGAGCATGTTCTTCTTCACCCCACTAGACGGCGCTGTGCATTTCGCATATGGTCTATTGCACGCTCCCTTTCTGCCGAGTGAATACGGTAATGTCGGAGTTTCTAAGCTCGCATAATCTGTTTCACTGTGGGTACTGTTGGGGGTTCCTCAGCTATCTATCGTGGCTGCTATGGAGAAAGAAATAGGCACGGTAGACCGCCAACTCACCCGCGCAGCCCCTCGTCCTTGAGGATCATGGGAGCCACCTTGCTCAGGTAGGGGGGGCAGCCAGCCATGGTCTGGATGCGCACCTTGCACGCCTCCATTGGGCACAGGGCAATGTCGGCAAAGAACTCCGCCGAGGCGCTAGCAGCCAGGTACAGCGACGTCCTCCATAGGTACGACAGTTCCTAGCAAGAACTCCCCGTCAGAGAAGGAACACCGCACGGTGGGCTCTTTCGGTTGGCAACGCCAGCGGCAGCTCAGCGAGAATTTTAACTCTGAGATCACTAAACCTGCTCTTTATTCCTTTCCCTCTCCTTCTGTGAACAGGCCATGAAACCTGACATGGCAAGCGACAATGCTAGCCCCACGCTGCTGAGACAGCACAAGATTTTACATTGTAAAAAATAACCGCGAACCTTACAACAGCTCGTCGGCCCTGAAAGCCATGCTGGGATGGGAATAGTTTGAAATAAGAATAAAAAAAAATGAACACTCAAGTTTTTTCATACATTTTAAAACAACGCCGGGATTTATAAAACAGCATATCTGGCGGAGCCCTCCTACAGCTCTTTTTGTTGAAATAATACCAGAGACATTGATGTATGTAATTACAAAACAGACTTGTAGCGAATTAATTTATTGTTAAGACGTCCAGATAGTGGAACAACCTTGCGGAACAGGTAGTGTGCATTGATGACAAGTTTACTTTTCCTGCTCGTCTGAATGCATAAAAAAGTCCCCCCCCCCCCTCCCCCAATAATGCCCACAAGGCAATGTAGGAGCAATGTAAATAAAATTAAATTGCACTTGCACATGTAAGTAGCTTTGACAACATGGAAGCACAGCAGAAGCTACGCTATTCTTGACAATGCAGCACAAAATAGTTGAAACAGAGTACATTACCCTGAGCAAGCAGTTGCAATGGGACAATAAAAAACTAAAACGCTGGCAGTCGAGAACAAAGAGACAGCAGCTGCACACGTGTCCAGCAAAAGAACAGCCTCACCTCTCCCAGCATGTTGCTGTAGAGGATCTTGAAGACTTCATAGAAGCCAAACTTGCCCAGGCCCTGCAGCGAGTAGCCAATGGCGGTGGGTGCCCAGCCACGCCCGAGGCCCCTCATGCCCTCCTCCTTGACGGTCAAGTTGAAACCGTGGAAGATGCCCTTGTATTTCGCTGGATTGGTCTGCAAAAAGCCACAAATAAGCTCCAGACATATGGCGACCTTCAACAAAGACACTGACGGGACAACAATGTTCCCAACAGAAGCAGGCATAGCCACTAACAAGGCGAGAATGACAGGGTGTTTTCTTCAAATGTGCAGCCTTCAGCATGTGTTGTTGGCTTTCGCCGTGCTCTCGCACAAGATGCCCAAGCATTATCAAAGCTAGGAAACTCCTGCTGGAAGCATAACAACTAAATCTCCTCCCTTATATTTTTAGTGCCAGAGCTGAACACGGTTGGTTATTGGGTGTACGCCCCAATCACACCTGTCAATACTGCAGGAGCATGTTGAGACATAATTACCTGGATTCTGCATTTGACGAGGTCCAACGGGACGACGGCGGTGTGAGTGATGCCGCAGCTGAGGATGCCTCCAAAGCCGCACAGGGCGTAGTACTTCATGGAGCCGTAGGCAACCGGTTCTGCGTTTCAAGTATACCCCCGAAATGAGGCGTTTGCGCAGGGGTTACGCACGCCCGAACTTCTAAACGATGAAAGAGGTCGTCAGGAACAGCCACACGTATGCATGCAGCATAAAAAGCAACCATACTGACGTTCATTTTGTTTTAGGAGCATCAGGTTTTTTTTTCCTTTCTTCGACGTTCTAACATCCGCAGTAGTTTTGAGTTGTGTAACAATTGCTTTGCCTTTTAACAGTTATACCCCTAGCCTAAAAGCATATTTCTTACATTCTAAAATCAAGAGGCGACAGCAATCGAAACAACGATCTCATTAGACTACCAACGTCCTCCAAAATACCACGCCGCCCGCCCAAAACTGAAAATGAGGTTAATTCAGAACCGCCGTGAACGATGTAGACGCACTTCGAGTACAGGCCACCGCCGGTCACCTTCATAGGCCCATGCCAAAACTAATGTCATGACCGTCAAGCTCGAACAATCTAAGCGCGTCTTTCATTGAACTATGCCGAGCTTTGACAGAGTTCGGTGAAACCCCGGAAGAAAGCAGTCACGTTCCCCGTCACTCGCAGCTGTCCTCTATCATTTTTTCCCAAGGTCACTAGGTTCTTCCTCCTAAAGGCGGATCATGGCCTTAACGAAGGCGTACACGCTTGAGTCCGACATTCCTTGTTGCAGTTTGGAGCCGAAATAAAATTGGTTGCTACAAAAAAAAAATCTCGACTTACCCGCCGCGGCCGCAGCACCGAAGGTCCTCGGCGCAACGGGGCATACCGGCTTGGAGACGTCGCCAGGCGCGTCGCAATGCGCTGTGAACGGCCTGGCGAAAGGGCTGCGCTTGGCGCTTTCGAGAAGCTGACTAAAGTTATTCATCGTGTCTTAAGTTAGGTGGCCAATTCTTCGCAGACCAGAACCAGCTAAATACAAGGAGAACACCTGCAGGATACAGGTGCCCGACCTCTCGCCGAACTTGAGAGAAAATGGCGGAGGACCCGGTTAAAAACCACGTGATTCGCCTTCGAGCGTTCGAGCGTTGCCAACTCGAGCGACCGAAAGATTTGGCAGCTGAAACCGGTTAGCAACAGGAAATAACAACTTAAAAATTCTAAAACTTCTTTAACTCTTAGATTATATGACGACATTTAGCTGATAAATTTAATTACCTATATTATTTAGTTTTATTCCTCTAAATAATGCAGTTCAAAGAACACGGCCAGAGGCGGAATCGAATGTTAGGCAAGATCACGTGTAGATGGCGGTAGCTGTCCGGGACCACTCTAGACCACTCAATAAGTATGTATAGTAATAAGGTTGAACTAGGTGCAACTTAAAGACTGATTTGTTAGGAAACTAATCTAAAGCCCAGTGATGCCGCTGCCACATATTACAAGCCCAAAAAAATTGAGGATATCGGACACCCTACCTCGGATACACATTGTTAGAAAGCGGAAAGTTGTTTTGCCTGCATCGCACCACAACATGGTGGTGAAGTAACCTTTGGGGCAGTGAACGAAATGCAAACAAGAAAACTTGAAACAATAAGTTCTCATGCACCCGGTAAAAACTTTCTGTGCCTGTGTAGACCGCTGAAAGCAAATTAAATGAGCTTATGGTCTCTTCTTTTTAAAGGACCCCTCACTCAAGCAAGCTCATGCGTGTCACTTTCCACACCAATCTTGTGACTGAGCATGGCATATAACATTGATAGCAAGAGCACCTTACGCTTTTGCCCTCCTCGTCTTTTCCTATATCCTCTCCACTTTTTACATTGCACCAACTTGGTTCCCCTCGCAGCTTAGAAGAGGGGAGCGCAAAGAGGATTGTTCCCAGCAGAAAAAAGAGGAGGATGTGTGTCGGCCTTTAACCTGATTCACCTACAGCTCTAGTTGTACAAGTCACGCATGCAAAAATACTGGTATTGACAACATATGGGTGGGACTTCAAATAAAATATAGTAAGTGCACAGTGTCATAAATTTTTTTTTTTTTTTTTTTTTTATGTTTTGTTCGTTTTTATTGCAAAAATAAACTATGCATTGCCGGACGCTCGAATTCTCCGCCCAAATGTAGCGCCAGCGTTCCGAATTAGATTCCAAAGTTTCAGCACTAACAATAATTTTATTCATAAGTTATGCGATTTTTTTTTTTTTTAATCCTCAATGGCAAAATGGGCAGTTGGGCAGGCTCGGAGCAGAGCGCAGAGAGAAAAAAATCTACTAAAACTTCCTTCCTCATTCTGGTTCATAAGCAGCTTCTAATGCAGTCTGTGCACTGCACGTAAGAAAATTTTACTGCCACTGAAACACTGCACTTTTCCCCTGAGTGCAACATCCTGTTTATATGTGTAAGAAAATATATTCCATAAAACAACGCAGCTCGAAGTAGATTTTTAGTGCACAAGGGGCAGATTAATCAAAAGGCACCATGATGTCATGGAAACTAATAAATTATACAGAGCACATTAATTCTATAGTTCTCGAACATATTTATTAATGCACCTTTTCTTCTGAGCAGTTCTATTGTCAGCTGCATTGTTTTATTAATGACATCCTTCTGATGTTCAACTACATTTGCTATAGCACATGATCATTATGTGTAGACTTCTATAACTACTACACTTAAATTCATATTTGTGCTTTTACTGTAAATATAATTGCAACAATTTTCTCTGTTAAACTCCTCTTGCACTATGTGTGGCCCACTGTGGCAATAAATTAATAAATAAATAAATAATTAAATAAGCTTTTAAACACATAATGGTTGTCTAGTCGTCCGAAGACTCCTTCCGTTTGTGGGACCTCCTCAGCCTCTTCTTTGTCTCACGAACCAGGGTCTCCTGGCTGCTGTAAACTGGGACATAAACACAAACTGTTACTAAAGATGAAATCACAATGAGAAGAAACTTTACTAAAACAAAACATAGATAAGCTTCAGCAGGACAATAGTAGGCATCCTGAATTTCCGAACAAATAATGGGACAATGCTGAAAAGCTTATAAGCTCAACAAGGGCAAAAATCAGTTTGCTTGGAAGTCCCAGGAAAGTGTGGATGGATGGATGATAGCGCCTAGCTGTAGCCTTTGTAATGGGCAGCAGCTTGCACCACCAGGCCCTAAAGTGTAAAAACTCCTTTATGGCTGCCCAAAACTTTCCTCTCAGGAACAAAACACCTCGACATGCTATTTGACTCGTCCCTTAGTTTATCCACCAGGCATCTAGCCTCCTCTGTGTGGGAGTACACCTTTTCATCCCCATCCTTCCATCCTCATCGGACAGCCGGCCCGAGAGCATCAGCTACGTCTACCGTCTCTTCAGACTGGGCAGGCTTAAAGGGGTACTCCGGCGATTTTTCCATGGTTGCCGATTTGCCTCAAAATTGACTCAACGCACCGATAGACATGGTTCTACGAGTTTCCCAAGTTTTGTGTGAAAAGAAAAAAAAATTCGCGAAGTTATTGAATTTTCGAATTTCGTTTTCATTGTGTTTCTCAAACCGGGAGCCCCTACTGGCAACATTGAAGTGCGACGACAGAAATGGTACAAAGTGGGCAGTAAGCCATGTTCCCAACTGATTACAAGACGTTTGATGGTGGGGAAAAAATGTTTGGTAACTGATTCACTGAAAAGCACGCAAAAAACACTCGACATACTCTGTTTAAGACTACATCCACGACCTGAAAGTCTGTACCATGTGTGACGTCCCACCACTGCACAGCGCGCAAAAATTTGAATGCTGGTTTCGGCATCATCTTCATTTACGGTTTTCTCAATTGCTATTTTGAAATTCGAGAAAATAAATAGCATACCATGACGACTGAAATCCGGGTAGTCAGAAAATGCAATTTGTTTAGGTAGCTCAAAAAATGGCCGGAGTACCCCTTTAAGTCTCGTGTGCTTTACCACTCTATGTTTTACCGTGACAGACCCCTTTCAGGCATCTGTGTAACAAATCTCCCTGGGGCTCCACGCAACCAAAGTTCAAAGTATACGAGTGTATGGAGCAGGGGTGGCCAGGTTGACACGGCCTAAGAGCCGCAAACGAAACCACGAAACTTCAAAGAACCGCTGGGGGCGGGGGCAAATGTTTGTTCAGCGCAATAACCGAAACTCAAACTACTTTCAATTTGTCGAGTCAGAAGTACCCCAACTGTACGTAAAATAGCAGTATAGAACAAGACTGCCAAACCGCAACCTGTCTTTTGATTTAAAATGTGTTCCATTTCTTTTTTTGGGGGAAGTGCTCGTGTGACTGGGAGGGAGGGAGGAGGGGTTGGGGAAGGAGCCGGGAGCCGCATTTTAACACGCAAAAAGCCGCATGCGGCTAGCGAGCCGCAGCTTGGCCACCCCTGGTATGGAGGAAGCACTTGAAAGTCAGTTCATGTAGAGAAGAAGACATACAGGTTACTGAATTTTAACTTAAGCAAGTACAAAAAAAGGGGTGAACAGATAAAATAATTAAAGACATTTACAAATCTCCGTAACACAAAATTGGAGCGCAGCTCTTGAGGAGGAGGAGGAGGGGAAGGTATGGAGGGGACAATATGCGTCTCCTCCTCCTCCGTTCCATCTCCTCCTCCTCCTCCTCTCATCCTCCTTCTCTCCGCTCCTCCTCCGTACCATCTATGCCTCCTCACATCCCCCTCCCCTGCTCCTTGTCCTCCTTTCCCCCCTCCTCCCCCTCTCCACTCCTCCATCTTCCCTCCTCCTCCTCTCCCCTACTTTTCCTCCTCCTCCTCTGTAGATTCCCCTCTTTTTCCTCCATACCTTCCCCTACTCCTCCACCATACCCTCCCCTCCTCCTCCTGCATACCCTCCCATCTTCCTCCTCCATACCCTCCCCTCATCCTCCCCCATACCCTCCCTCCTCCCAGTTTCCCCACTAAATTTAGCCGAAAAATTCAGCCTGGTTACGCCGACGGCGATGCCGGCAAACTCCGAAACACGTGCCCAAGAGCCGCGCTCTAAAACGGTAGTGGATGCTGTCTTCACCATGTCAGGCTCGGCAGAACTTTTTTTCACCATGTGTTCTGGTTCCTAATGTTCCTGTTCTCGTCTCAAATAGCAAAGCTATCGATGCTATGGTGAAGTTGACTCTTACTTAATGGCTGTGGACGCCAGGTTTTTATTTTGCAAGGACTTATTCGTCAGCTAGTCAGGCAGCACAAAGCAATCAGGGCAGCAATATTACAGAATGCAGCCTTACCAGTCTCATATTTGTATGACTTGTAGGCAGTCATTGGCGAGTATGTGATTGAGTTGTTCCGATTTGGAGGCGGAACCTGTCCCTGGTAGGTCATTGAACCAGTAACGCTTGGAAGGCGGATGTCCAAATGAGAGCCTTTCTCCGTCACAATCTGCAATGCGACAGACCCAATCAATCACTCCAAAATCAAAGGATAAGTAGAACAGATACTAGAATTACCTCAAGGTGTGCGGGTGGGCTCTTCAGCGAGTTCATTAACTTTTTTAACCCCACAACCGTTTTTGACGAGCCTAGCTCGTTCAAAAGCCTAGCCCGTCCCCAAACCGTTTAAGACGAGTATAGTTCTTCCGCGCAACCTACCTTGCCCCTTGGCTGTTTTGGACAACCCAAACTCGTTCACAGCTTAGTGTTCGATGCTGTTCAGAGAGCAGTGCCGCACGCTAAGCTTTGAACGTTTTATTGTACACTAAGCCTGTACAATAAAAAAAATGTTTTTTATTGTACACGTTTTTAAGGACGGCGACCGATTGTGGAGACACACGCAAGCCGGGCCACGCTTGCAATAAAAAAAAAAAAGTTTAGGATCAAAAGTAGGAAGAAAAAAAAAACGGTTCAGGGGTTAATTAAAATGAAAAAAACACATATACCTAGTGTATAGTGCTCGACGAAACGAAATGGGCTAGCGGGACGCGTGGCCTCCAGACTTGCTGTGCAACCTACTATACTTCGTTTCAGCTTCGGTCCAGACGCAGCCAAAGCTACAAGCGCGAGCTCCGGGCTTTCAGCATTCCTGCCAAGCACGCGCGCTCGTGCAGTGCAAGCACTGTTCTGGGACACATGCTCGCGCTTGTAGCATCGGCTGCGTCTGGACCGAAGCTGAAACAAAGTATAATAAAAGATGCTCGCCCTGGTGTTGAGAGTTGCACATGCGCAAAGCTGATACAAGTGCTCATCAGCTAATCCCCCATAGTACACTAACCCACGATTGGTATTCTCTGCAGAGTGATAGCCTTTTGTTTTGCTATTTAATCACTGCGTGGTCTTATCGCAATCTGTGCCCTGTGCATACTTTTATCCTGTCTCAAAGTTTAAAAGAACATCAAAAAGGCAAGTTTTCTTTTTTTTTCTTTTAATAAAGAACACAGTGCCATTTCACTTAACATTTATTTTTCAATAAATTGTCAGCTCACTGCCATCAGTAGCCATTCGTGAAGATGCCTTCGTGAGTGCCAATTCACGAACGCTGGCGAATGGTGGACCTATACTGCGGATGCCCCAACGAGAAGTCGCCCAAACGACAGGAAGGACCCGAACTGTAGTGGCCCAAATTTTCATGGCGTTTCGGGACGACAACTGCCGCATTCATGACGCCCCTCACGACGTCCGACAAAGGTCCTTTATTGATGAGGAGGATCGTTTGACTGTCGCAGCTGCAGTCGACCAGCGCTTTATGACGGCCCATGACATTCGAGGTGAGCTTGATCTGAAAGTTAAGCGCTGTTCAGACACTTGCAACCAAGGTTAACCGAGAGAGACAAGACCGGTTTTTAAGTCTCTTGTGAGGGCGTACAGCCTGCTCCGCAGCACTGTATACGGTCCTCCGCCGTCGCAAGAGGCTTAAACACCGGTTGTCTCTCTCTCGGTCGTATTCGGTTGCAAGTGTGTGAACAACGCTTTAGGAACCAACTTGTGCGATGCCGTCTTGTAGAAGCGGGTATTACGAGATGCTGCGCAGAAGTGGGTATTAGGAGCTATGCTTGTTAAGAAGCCACGCTGGATGCGCTTCTTGCTGAGCACCGGTGCACTGCGGGGAAGCAACACCCGTGGAGCTCGCTTCCGTGGGTGTGCCTTCTCCACAGTGCATCGGTGCTTGGTAAGAAGTGCACTCAACGGGGCTAACCCGCCGTGATTAACAATTTGAAAAGTAGAAATATTGCAGCCACGTGCTTTAGAGGAAAGCTCACTTCCGAAGCGGGATGGTACATGTGCATGCCTGGTGCATTGAAGAAGAAACAGAAACTTTGTGACTGTTAATATCTATATTGCAGTAAAATTTTCAAAATTAAACTGGCATGCATGAGCATATGCAGAGATGTAGTAAGGTGTGAATATGTGCGAGTCAATGCATGGTCAAAGAATAAAAACAGTGCAATAATGAACACAGGGACAAGTAGAAGGCACAGAAAAACACAGTGCTAACGACTGTCATTTTCTTTCAGAACAAATCAGATTGACACGAAACAAGAAAGAGAGAAAACTATAGAGGGCATTTTTTTGTAGCAGTTACAGTCATGGTCACAGTCACAGAAATGTGTATGTGTCTTCTACTCTTCTGCTTGTCTTCTACTAGTCCCTACCACTTCTCCGTGTTTGTTTTTCTGCTGTTTTTATTTCTCTGATTATGCAAAGATGCCCTGACAACCTGTGTTAACCACTCGTGATTGAAGAAAAAATATCTGCATATAGCAAAAATATTTATAAAGCCCCTTTATTAGGTATAGCTGGGCATCTCTATAGATTCAATTTTATGTGAAATGTGTCGTTTACTTGCCATTCCAACGCAGGCATTGGACTTTTGGAGGCCAAGGTCAGTAAATATAATTAGATTAAAACTAACTCAGTTCAGAAATGAATAAGCAAAAGCTTGGCAACAAATTTTACAGCTTTACCTAGGTTTTCGTTTAAGCACAATGCAGTAGTGAAAGGCTCAGAGAAATTTTTCAATATTCGATTCGAGAATATTCGGTCAAGACCACGATTTGCTTTGAATTCACTTTGAACTCAAAATCTTCTATTTGTGCAGGAATAGTACAGTAAACTCTCACTTGAGCGAATGTCGGTTTAACAAATATTTCAGAATAACGAACATTAAAAAAATCCCCGGTGGTTTTCCCATGCATTCTGTGCAAAAACGTTTCAGTTAAGCAAATTAACGAATTTCGGAATAGCAGATATTTCAGTTCAACAAACTTGATCGGTGGACCCAGGATTATTTTTGCAATCAGTTCAACGAAGTTTTGTGCCCTGCAGTGCTGGCGTAGCCGATGCCCGCCGCCCTTCCGCCGCCACCACTGCAGCAGCGGCGTATCATTGTTGACGTTTACAGCGCTACCGAGGCAAAGCGGCGGTGCGGTAGGTGAAAACGAACCACATTGTGTGTCTGCTGTGATCGGTTCCGTTCGGCCATCTTAGTTTCGGGTAAACAACGGCAGGACGGCAGTTTGTGCGCCCACTTTCGTAATGAGCACGACGAAACAGAAGCAGTCGTCTCTATCAGACAAGCTCAAAATCCTTCAGCGTCTAGACAACGGTCAAAGGCAAGTGGACGTTGTGAAGGACTATGGGATTCCACCGTCGACGTTGTCAATGATAGTGAAGCAAAAGTCGAAGCTTGAAGGAGAAACTGCGTTCAATCCCAACAGCAAACGACTCTGCACGGGATATTTCAAGCCAGTGGACAGTGCCGTTACGGTATGGCTTCGTCACAGCAACAAGCTGTGCCAAAGGAAGTGCAAAAAAACAGACACTCTGAACAGCTTTGTTACTTCATGCGCTTTAAGAGCACCGGTGCAAATGAAAATTAGATTTTTTTTTTCAAAACGAGATTAGCAGCAACATAAGTGTTATGCACTTTGTATATATCAATGTACATGACTCCATTAATTGCATTTCACACTTTTGACTCAATGTATGTTGTGCCCTATGTTGTTCCATATACCGTATTTATTCGAATATAAGGCGGTCACAATTATAAGGCGAGGGGGCAGTTGAAGGACCCAAGAAAAAGAAAAAAAAATTGTCATATTGCTATACTGAGCTTCGAATATAAGGCGGGGTATGACTTTAAGACTACGGATCTTGGAAAAAAACCTCACCTTATGTTCGAATAAATATGGTACTAGTAAATATATTTAGCTAGTGAACTCTCAGTTAAGTCCCTTGAAGTTCGCTCAATTGACAGTTTACTGTATCGGGTATAGGTACTGAAGGTGCAACTTGGGAGTTTTGCTGCCCAGCCCTGCTGCACAAGCTTGAAATGGCAGTGACCATATGATAACACATGTACATACCTTTTCGTTCATAGAATAGAGCTTGGAAGTAATGTCCCTTGCAATGAGTAAAGACAGGACGGTAGCAAGCTGTGGTTCCTTGATGAGCAAGTACTCCAGGTTGGATCGCTGCCAGAATAAGTAACGACAGGGTGTGACAGCAAGTATTGAGACCTGGAAGGCATAAGATAATGTGAAGGAAATGCAGGATTATAACAAAAGTTTTGCAAGCAACAGAAAAGTAACATTAAAACATATTCACATCTTACTTTGAATTTGTCGTCTACCCCAGACCTCGTCGACTCAAATTCAGGGGAGTCCAGAAATTGCCGGGGAAAAATGTAATGCAGAAATAGGTGGTCTGTAAGAACACTCACTCTGAAAAATAAAGAAAAGGACAATCAACACTCAGTGAAGAAATTATTTGGCAACAACAAAGAACAATGCACGAGGGATGATCGATAAGCTTTGCCTCCTAGGCTGTAACGTTTTTCTTTATTCAGAGATGGAATTGAAAGATGTAACATTCAAATGAAAGTTTGGAATCTCCTCTTTCCCAGGAGCATGAACTTTTCGATATAGTCCCCACCGGCGGCGATGCACTTCCACTACCGGTCCACTACTCTCTCATGCCGTCGTAGACGAGTGAGGGTGGTTCTCGATGAGACCAACTGGAAGAGCTGCAGTTCCAAGGTGCCTTACCTCATTCACCTTACAGCCTGGACCTCAGGCCATCAGACTTTTGACTGTTTTCTAAGATAAAGGAACACTTGAAGGGTACACGGTTTGCGTCCAAAGACGAGGTTACCAATGAAGTGCACTGTTGGTGTCGTCAAAAGCCGCCCTCAATCATCTACGACGGCATGTGGAGAGCAGTGCACTGGTAACGGAAGTGCATTGCTACCGCTCGGGGCTACATTGAAAAAGTTATGTGCTCCTGGGAAGAAGATTTCAATCTTCAAATTTGTAACATCTTTCAATTCCATATCTGAATAAAAAACGCTACAGCCTAGGATGAAATGCTTATCGTTCACCACTATGATAATGTTACCTCTTTTCCTTGCAGTCCTTTTTCTGTATTGAAAGGAACTCTTATTCATGACAACAAATATATTAATGATGGCTCATAAAAACAGATGAGCTGACATAACAGATCAAATGTGTTATATACAGTTACATACACTTAAATAAAAAGGAGAAAAAAACAACTTGGTATAGTACGAGGCAGCAGCCCATTACCTACTCATGCATGTTGCACTCTACACATTGCTTGATCTGCCATTACCTACTGTTGCTCCAAAACAAAACACATCTTAATTTCTGCGACCGTTGAGTTAAAAAGCTTTGAAATTTAAGAAGTCTATCAATGATACCAGGGTCAGCTACATCTTCACAAGAGATCACAGAACAGGATGCCCAGTTTTTTGGTTTTTAAGAAATGTTCCAGAAAGGAACCTTTCAATCAGGGAGCCCCTTAAAATCTAGAATTAAAGTCAATGAAAAGACAAAAAGAAAAAATATTGTGCAAATGAGGACATTAGTTTTTGTTATGCCCTCACATAATTTTCACTCTCAAAAAAAAAAAAAATTTTTTTGTTTTGATTTTAAAATACAAATTAAGGCACACATACTTTCCGGCTATAAGTAACCCGAGTCTATCAGTCTTGGTCAGGTTCTGCATGGCGTAAGCCTCTCCGGCATGAAGGTTCATAATCTGGGCATACTCCAAACTGACCAGCTTTTTGAAAAGTAGACGAGGCACCTGCAATGACAAGATCTAGTTCAACAATCACAGTCATGCAACCAGTAGAAGTAATACTGCCACAAAAAATGTGGTCACCTGTAGTGGCTGGAACATGAGCACATAAATGTCTTCCAGCTCTCGAGGAAACTTCACCTGCCTCATGGTGTACAGTAGTAGGAGCGTTTGTCCCATGTTAAGGATCATGAAACTGAAGCTCCATGAAAACATGTCTGGTGCACAGATCACATTCCATGCCCAGGTAGAATTCAGCAAAAATCCTAAGAAGGAAGAAGGCCATGGTCAAACACAAATCCAATTTTATAATCCCTTTAAAAAAAAAAGAACTATTTCTGTCTCGCATATGAAACCCCTTGTTAATGCTGCATGGGGTGACAACCAATGAAAACAAAAATTATTTATTTCGCTGCCTCTTTATTATCAATTAAAGACCCAAGACGAAGAACTGTACTGTACTGTACTGTAAATTTTAAACGTGTAATTTCAGTCAACTCACCTGCCTTCTTATCCTTTTATCTCTTTTAACAGGAAACATCTTATGAAGCAAGTCAAATTTGGGGGTTTTACGTGCCAAACCAACGACGGGCATCTGGCACGCCCCACCGGAGGACTGAGGATTAATTTCGACCACCTGGGGATCTTTTGACGTGCAATCGAAAGCTCGGTTACGCGGCGTCTTCTCCGCAATAAGCCTCCGTCAGATTGCGGGCACCTCGGCCGGGATATCTTATGAAGCAGAAGTGAGGCATTATAAAAGGCAAATACTGTTCATTTTGTTGCCAAGAATCTCCACAGCACACTTGACTGCTGTTAATTACATAAAGGGAGAGGATGTCAATTTTAACCTCGGGGTATAAAGACAAACACATCTTTTAAGTGGCAGCTCTTATGCAAGGGCCTACCTCCGATTGTTGCAATTACACGTCTCACTTTTTGTATTACTTACAAGTAGTGACACAAATCATCCAGACATACAACTTTTATTAATGATATATGCTTGGCTTATTACTCCAGCACTATATGCACATTTAACAAAGAAGGTTCTTAAGATCCGGTAGGGCACAATGTGTTCAGAAAACATGTGAAGTTGAAACAAACAAATAAAACCCCTTCAAACAAGATCAGCTTGATGATACTCTGGCCCTTAAAATGGACAGCATAATAAGTTTCTTAATGTGTCAGCATACAAGTTACTACAAAGCTGCTCGTAGATGGTGCAACTTACGTATAAAAAAAAAAAAAAAAAAAAAAGCCTTACCCAAGTAAAAAGCAAACACAATTTGTTTCCCCCTTTCGTATGGCGTCTGTCTGCAAACAATGCATTTCTGATTGGCACAACAATCAGCAGATGGTTCCTTTTAAGTCCCCAAAGGGCGTCCACATAGCCGAAAAGACATGACAAATCATATTATTTCATTGATTTCAAGCTTGTTCAGCGGTTTTTAAGCAAGTATGACACAATCAAGCACACACAACAAGCATGAAAAAGTGTGCACCTTTCTTGACTTCGGAAATTACCTGCATTCGGCAAGAAGACTGCTGCCGCCATATGTTGGTTGTTGCCCCAATTCGAAAAGTGTTATTTGCGGAAAAGCGCCATGTGTGTCAAAAAAGCATTCTTATTTACTCTATTTTTGCTCAGATATGTTCAGTTTTTGAAATTTTGATACACAAAATGCAGCACCTGTGTAGAAAGTCATAATGCGATATGTCAAAAAGACTGGTTTGTGCGGTTTTTTCAAAGGGACAATCTGTTAACGGGTTTGCCCAGTATACCAGGTTTATTGGAAACCTAAATGATGTCAAAGTGTGTGAAAATGGGGCTGTGCATGTGTGTCCAATGTGGCTAAAAAGCACTTGCCAGAAGGCAACTTACCAAGAATTAGCAATGAATGCAGGAACAAGTTGCCATATCTTCCATTTGGTGCCAGGTAAGAGATGCAGAAACATGTGTTAGCCAGCTGGAAAAGCACATGCTGGGGCTGCTTCCAGACATCACAGGTGGTGTCTCCAAAGAGCCCAGGGATCGATATGTTCCTAATGGAATATGCTTGTGCAGTAATATTCACAATCATTTTTACTTGGGCTTAGCAGGCTGAAAAGAGCATGAGGGGTAAAAACAAAATGTACTAGGCACTTGAATTCACGAGTTGCATAGACGAGTAGTTCAAATGATGTGCACAGAATCTCTCATTTCAGGTTTCCTTGTAATATTAAGTCATAGTAACTGAACCAAGATGTGCAGCGTCTATCACAACATTAATAAACGATCAAAGTTGTCAAAAAGAAATTGTAAGTGTTTTTTTATTGGTGCTACTCAAAATATCGCTCATCTCACAAAAACAAATAAAAAAAAAAAAAAGCCAAGCTCACTCAGCCACCAGTGAGGTTTGAACTCACGACCCCTGGTTTACGAGACCAGTGCTCTACCACTGAGCTATGGTGGCACATGTCACGAGGTTCGTAATATATATTACAATTGTTTACTACTCCTCTCATTGCTTGTATCGATCGTAGATTGTATTTCTTGTTTTGAATCTTAACTTAACTTAACTTAAACTCGACCTTTTACACGAACGAAAAGGTTATGCCTAATTTCATACCTCAGTGCAAACGCCGACTCACGGGACTAAACTATTAAATATTTTAGGGCGATCATGGATGATATCGCACCATTAACACACATTCAGACTGCATTTACGATGCACAATGAAGACTTCAGTTGTGAATCTGTTCACCATCGCAGAGCAGAGGCAGCAGCGAGAACAGTTTCACCGCGCCGACATCGCGCACGCTTGAGCGTGAAACAAAAACTGTCTTTCAGAAATTTTTCCGAGATCCATCCGGCTGGTTTGGTGATGAACCGCAAACGGCACATTTTACCGGATATCTCGTAAAAATCTCTGCATCTCAGTATCCTATGCGTGCAACAATGATTTAAAAAGCGGGTATAGCACGAACAAATTAGAGCATAAATCAGTGCACTCTCATGGCTTCAGAATGGAAAGCATCAATATGCCGATAAACCTTTTGAGATATAGCGTGAACACTGACCTCTATGTGAGCGTGAATTACTAATGCGCAAAGTCGCACAAATCGTACGCACACACACACAAAACGCAATGAAAGATGAAAGTGTGAATTGCTTTCAGATTCAGAAAAGAGGAACATATGCTCAGCTCACCAGGCTCCCGCAAATACTTTGCCAAGAGTCGGATGTCTAAATATTCGCGTTGTGGTGTATTGTCCTTGATGTCATAGTCTCGATCAGAACGTCTCAGAAATTATGCAGCTGTGTCACCGAGATTTCAACCACTCCATTCGAATCAGCTGTACCAGCCATGGTTCGCGCGGTAAAACAAGAGGACATAGAGACATAGACGCAGAACTAGCGCCAAGCTGTCGAGAGCGGCGGAGAAATAAAACCTCGCGCAGCAGTCGAAATCAAGCCTGAGCAGAAAACCACCTATATCTCGCATATCTCGCTTCAGGCCAGCTGATTATGGGTCGGTGGTGTGGTGCCAGAAAGTTGCATCCGACCACCGCTAAGGGCGCTATCAATAGTTAAAATCTATAATTATTTAAAATTGAATTTTTACGTTAAGTGTGTATATATTTATATATAAACCTTACGGCTTGAAAATAATTTTAAGATATTGCAGTGAGTAAGCTACTAATGCAGTTGACTGATTGAATTAACTCGAAGCAGTGGAGAGGAGGGTGTTGTGCAGCGCCACTTGTGCAGCGTCGGAGAAACGAACTCTTCTTTTGACTCTGAGGATCGACGGTGCGCGCAGGGTAGCACGCGTGTATGACGTCGTCGTAGGTGTGGTTGCGCTTAAAATGTTTACACGCATGCGCAGCTGTTCTGGATTCTGACATGGCGGATGATCCGCAGCCTGCCAGTCCCGAAAAAAAGACATTGGGTGAGTGAGCATTTCATTCCTTACGTCTTCGAGCAGTTTATACGCAACTCTACACTGTTCGTCTTCCGTTTACACGTCGCTACGCATTAAATCCTCAAGATCGGCGGCGTAAGATCGAGGCCTTATGCTAACCCTAAACATGTATCGGCGACGGTACTTCATTCAGACGTGAATTCTGGTTATGAATCATCCGTCGTCTGATAGGTCAAAACCGCGATTGTTTTCGAATATTCGTGACAATGAGGAGGTGAAGGCAAAAGCTTTCGCGAGCTTAGCCTTCGCGAGCTTAGCGAGCTTTCGCGAACTTTCAAACCCGTGCCGTCGTTTTCTTAATGGGCGGCAGGTCTTCTCCGAGTAATTTTCCAGCATTCATTCCGATCGGCTGACAATGTTATATGCGTCAGCCTTGGGGGTCTTTGGAACGGTCTCATCAAAGCGGACTTCCTCCCACGAATCGCAATCAAGGCTACATTCCTGCCTCGGATTCCTCATTGTGACGTCTCCCGTGTTGGCCGGTCTTTGACAAAAGGCCGATAAAGCTGTTTGCTCGTGTATTATTATCGCATTCTCCCACCACCCCTCCCCTCGTTGCGAGTTCCGAAAAAAAATCCCTTTTACCCTGCCTGGCTAAAAGAAGAGGCGAAAAAATTCTGCTACAAGACTTGTTGGCGATAGCGCTGACCCTCTGACGCTGCATTTATCGCATTTTACGATTATGAGGTGGATTTCCCCTTACCGGCATCCTGTTCGTATTTTTGGATAGGCTAGTCATGTTTATACCGGTATTGCTTTGTAGCCATGGTTTCAGCCACGGATGAGGCATGTCGACGAGGTGCCTTGTGTTCGTGCTCGACGTTGCTCGTCGTGGGTTAATGTCAGGCCGATCGTTCAAATTGAACAAATTAGTTGCACGTCTACCGATCACACAATGGATGCATGCGGCTTTTTAAATAAAAATCCCCCTACCCCCCCCCCCCCCCCCCCCCCCCAAATCATCCTTTTTTTTTTTTTGCATTTTTAGGTTTGCTAGTAAGTTTGAAGGGTAACAGATGATTCCAGTTTTCAGTCTAACAGGTGCAGCAGTCACAACGCGTAGATGCACATCTGATCAATGCTTTGCTGTTGTTAGCTAGCTTGGTGGTTAGAGGGGGTCATAAACTAAAAATAAACTGGAGTTAGCAGAAATAGTAAAAAAAAAAAAATTCAATTTCTTGTGTTTTCATGTGCAGGCGATATACCTAACGAAATGCACATTATTAGAGAGGAACTGCTGCGGTCGCTTTGGTTTGTTTTTCGTCGAGGGGACTATTCTCTTCTCAGCAACCACATCATACGTATCGTTACAGACTCGTGTAATAGAAAACTGGATCAGAGTGACCTTTTGATCTGGGTGTCGGGGGACCTCCCTTTTGTGAGATTTTTGAGGCAGTGTTACGGTGACAACATTCTCTGGTGAAGTCATTTCCGTGATGTTACTAACTGGGGGTGGCTGTCCGGAAATATCAATTTGGCACATCTCTCGCGTATAAATATACCAGGTGAGGGGTGCAAGGAGCAATGCTTTTCATTCCTTGCTCGCGGATTAAGAGCATGACTAAGCACGTCACTTCAGTGGCAAACTGATTGGGGGAATCCGTGGCCTCACGGAGAGCCTGTTTGGGCTCTCGCGTGGAAAGTGGCCCCCAGAGCGTAATCCCCTGGCAGATTATCCGCGATAATCGGCTCAAGGAGAAAGGAGCCGCCAGGTCTCTTCACCGTTGTGTGGCTACGCGCAGTATCGCCACCTTGTCAGCAGGCTGCACTCGGCAAACAATAGCTTATCTTTCTGTCTGTCACGATAGCGTCACTTTTCGACATTTTCGGAATGCGCGCAGACGGCAGCGGTTTTTGCCACTCCCTGGCTGCGCTCGGCATCACAACGATGCCTCGAGTTCGTCCTTGTGTCTATATGCTCACCTTCTACTTGGTATTGATTCGCGTCCAGCGAGCCGCTTATTTTCCTGTGTCTGCTTCCTTTTTTCCGCATAGCTACGCCGGAAACGGAGGGTTTCATTTGGCCACATACTTGTAAAGTGCGTCTTTCGAAACAGACGCAATTCGCGTAGAGGTGCGGGTCCACGGCAATCCATAAAACAACGAACATAACTATTCAGCTGTCCATTGCCAATCTGTCAAGCAGTTCGAGACTTCAATCTTTTAGAAAAGCCCACAATGATTCGCTAAGTACACCTTGTATACCTCGCAACATCAGGAGTACGATAACGATTTCCTTCGAGGTATCGTGGTCTCTGCTGAAAGTGCTGCAAACGCGTAACACGATTCAATGCCCTCGGTATTAACAAGGAATAACAGAAACACAGGCTTTATCTGTGGTCGTCGTGTCACCTTCCCTGTTGCCTTGCCCGCGTGTTATACGTTGGAAAGCCCGCCCACACAACAGAGTTGATGAGCTGGCGCGGTCCGTTGCACCGGTTGCACCCCGAAGACGTTCAAGGACCGGTTAATTGTCGGCAGTTTCGAGTACAGTCGATGATCTTTCGCTCATCTAATGAGTGCTGCTTCGTTAGCCCTCATCCCTCGGTCCTCACGCGCACTCTGGGGAACGACAAAGTCGTCGTCTCGCAGTTCAGATGTTTCTGAGCTCCTCCCTCTTTGTCCTGGGAATAGAGTCAGCGCCGTCTTTGTTTTCCGATATGACCTCGACGCATCCATTGTCAAGACCGCCTGCACGCCTTTCGGAGCCGCGTTCTTTTTTATCTTCGGTGGATCGTCCGTCCCCTTTCCCCGGTGCTGAACGCTTCACCGTGCTATACCACACTGTCGTCGGCGCATCGTGTGACCGCTCGAATTCTGGTGCCTGGGAATAGAGCTGCCGAAGACGTGAGAATTCCCAATTTTATTGGCGGTACCAAGCCGAATTGATAGGGTATATTTTCCGTCGCACGCACGGGGTCAAGGCTTGCCCGGCATTTCGCGAAATCGAGGAGCCCTTGCCCGGCTGGAGGCCAGGCGCGTTCTTTGTTTTTGTGTTGGGCACGAGCGAAACATTCGTACCTACTTAGATTTTGTTTCTTGTTTGTTTACGTATCAATTGCTACAGTGACCTCCCTCTTGACGTAGACTTCCTTGATCTTGCAACACTTCCTTTCTTTTCTATGTAATGTATTTACTTTATAAGGTAAATCGAGCTCGAATGATTACTCTCACATTATGATCGGGGAAGGTTGTATTATGTTGACAGCGGACGATTTTCCTGTTGGTAAAAGCCCTATGACAAATAAAGAATCAAAATATCGGTCTGTCAGTTGCGTGTCTGGCTGGTTCGAAACGACCTTGGGACCTCTTTGTTGTGGCACGAGTCATTTATTCCGCTTTTTTTTTTTCCGCTTGAGCGAGGACTTTTTTTTAGTGGACAGGCGAATGAACGAGGGGGACCGTACCGTGACCACCGCAGATGCGAGCGAAGAATAGCGGAGAAGCGCTTTACGACAAGGAAGTCCTTTAGACCGTTTTATCGTGGGTAGCGCCATTTTGAATACTGTGGCGCCATCGAACGAGCGTCAGGTTCCGCGGCCATGCCGAGTGGTTTTAGAAACGTTCTCGAAAGTGCTGACGAAAATAATCTCTGGACAAGGGGAACAAGAGGGACAAAGGACAAACACAAATCTCCAAACACAGTTAGGTGACTGGTGCACTACCGAAAGAGTCCGCCTGGTTCGGGTATCGAACCCGGAACCTCTTCATTTCCAGTGGAGCGCTCTACCAACTGAGCTAACCTGGAGTTAGACGTCAGTAGAGCAAACAGGTTTTATCAGCTGCCACCAGTCTAACACCAACAAGGGTGAAAGGCTCGCATTTTAAAGTTATGATTATAATGCAATTAAATGCAAAGGTGCAAGTCAGCTGGACAAGAATGTCGAAATCCCCGGAGAAGGGGAACAAGAGAGACAAAGGACAAGCACAAATCTCCTAACACAGCTAGGCGCTCTTCGGGGCGCCGCTCCCGCGTTGGCTGTGCTGTGTGGTGCTGCACGGTGCTGGGTATCAGGGCGCGTCTTGTGTTCTTGTGTGCCGCCGCGAATGGTGTTTTTAAAACTCATTGGGAACGCTTCTCACCCCGCATCATGGCGGATGCCCGGGGCGGCCAGAAAGGCGGGCTGTCTCAATACGACTCGGGCCAGCGTCATACACTGCCCGGGGCGAGTGTATGACGCTGGGGGTCATCTGTCATGCGAGTGTAAATATAACTAATTTACAGTGAGTCGGCGTCAGTCATTACATCTGCCATAGGGGCTGCCTTTCGCGGCAGCCTTCTTTGGATACCCCGTGCGGGAACGTCCAGCCAATATGGCTGGTCGCGTTCGATCTTCGAACAGCCTAGCCTGCATCCGCACGTTCTTTTCTGGTTGGCAGCAGTCAGAGAAAGATGGGATGATTTCAGCACGAACTCGATCTTCTCAACGAGTAGGTGCTACTGCGCCATGCCGACGAAAGCAAAAAGTGTTTGCGCACGAGGATGGCCATCCTCGGGAATTAGA